AATACCATGAGTGGCAGGTGGCTGAATTTTACGGAGACTTGCCACGGTCTCCAACCCTCCTCCTTTCTGAACCGGGCTTGGGACCGGCCGTGGCGGAGTTGGACCGGCCATGGCGCAGTTTGGATATAATATTATTGTCAAATTTTTTCATTATGATCTCAGTTTGTTCAGAAATAGCATTGCTTTCTCTAGTGAATTCTTCACCTAGTTGACTTGTTTGTTGTTGACTTGATTATTGTCTCTGTTTTTCTCAAGAATTTCTTCAGCATCACGACTTGTGACCTCTGCTTCACTTGCAGACATAGATAACTTCTGTAGATAACTGTGAAATTTTGAAACACTGTCATTTTATGAATATATCGCTTGTACTTGTTGTGCAGTGCTCCAACTTTTGACGATGGAAGACAAACAACCTCTGCTTATCGTCATCGTGAGCAGTTCTGATCGTATCATATATTGTCGCCTTTTCATTGCTGTAGTTTGTTTACTTCTCGACGTGTTTTCTGCCCACTGTTTAGTTTTCTTAACCATCTTAACTTGTCAGATTTCCTTTCAGCATACCACTCCATGTTGATTCGATATTGGCATAAGAGCCGCCTGTGTGAGACCATTTTCGGATTTCAAATTACTGTCAATATATGCTTCAAGACACTTTTAGCTCTACCAACTTGTACATACAATTCTTTCTTGTTTCTGCTGGAGGGTTTTCTCTTCTTCTAGGTTGCGGAAGCCTTTCAGACTCTTCAAGTACCTTTGTGGCTAAGCGTTGGTTCTTTCTCATACAGCTGGATATCTATTTTTTCTTCTGCCATTTACCCCGTTTTGTAATAGTAGTCACAGTGTGAGACCGTCTGCTGATCTCATCCAGTTTCTCAACTTTGTCAGCAGCATGTTCTTTGCAGTGGCCCGTTTCTGGTTTGCAAGTGGCCTTTGGTGCCAGATCGTTCTCTTCCTTCCGTTGAGCACTGCTTACGTATCCCTTGTCCTACAGCCACTTCACCAGTTGCAGAAAACACAAGATTTGTTTGTCCACTTCGCAGACTGCTTCAGTTCCCACAGTAACCTGCGTTACCCTCTGTGGTCCGAGCGAAGACGGACCCATTGTACTAGAGTTTTCTTTGTAATTCACCATGATGAATAGACGGCTGAACGCAGTTGGTCTCATATCTGTCCTGCATGGATGGTAGCAGAAGCCGAAGCTTCCGATGACATGGCTTCAAAGATCACTGACACACGCAAGTTCCGCAGCTACATCATGGCTGTGACATCGACAAGAAAACAACAACCCTGACGATTGTACTACCATTTTTATTCATATTAGTCTTATTTACGAGAGTTTCACCGGCGAGGCTCTCCTCCGTCCACATCTGCTCTATTTTTAAGCTGTTTAGCCGTATTGCTGATAGGCCTCACAATGCATTGTAATTTCTCCACACAGCTACATGAACAGCGTGTCGGCTGACGGCATTAGAAAATCTGCTACCTCCGGCCATTATCACTACTGTGGATATTGCATTGTTCTTTTAGTCTTTTAAGTGGTTATGGAGTACGATCGACCGCTAGAATCAACATTTTAGCCTCTGTAGGTAAATGGCAAAGGTATGAACATGGTGGACTCAGTGGTCGTTCGCAGTTAGTTACGATTGTTAGTACTGTTTTGTAGTGTATCAGTACCAGCAATACTGACGATAGTAACATCAATGACCGTAATGCCATTCAAGTTCTGTCACAGGTTGTATAATATTAGTAGTGCCATTGCTATGATACTTGTTGTGAGTTACAACATCTACCCCATCTTCAGAATGTGACTTGTCTGCTTTTAAGCGTTTCACTTATTAGACATTAACATCCGTTGTCAGATATCATGGTTCTGACTGACATCGTTCTTATCATTAGATCACTGTGTAATTCCCTGTGGGATTCGACATCTTCCGTCTGTCATTACGCTTTTCTGAATCCTTATTTTAGTTTTTTTGCAAATCGCACATCATGTGGACTTATTTGTGATTATGTTATTTAACCTGTGCCTGTTGGTTGCGCAATTTCTGTGCCTTTTTTGAAGGCGGTGGTGGGGGGATGAACAGGGCTTTTTAATTATGACGATCCAGTAGTCAACAACATGCATTTAATTAAGATAATTTTCAATTTTACGGTAAACTGAAGCATTTATCTTTCACTTATTGTGATCGATGTTTGTTTTTGGTCATATGCCGATGGTATGATGTTACAAATAATGTTTTAGAATGCGAAATACGTCGACAGCAGCTGTATGTTAGATGGTGCCCCTTGTTCAAGTAAAAATGATTGCGTCCGAATCAAAGAAGGTATGAGTTACGTTCCTTCTGTTAATTCCTTGCATCCGTAAATCTTTTTATTTTGTAGATACGGATAGTGTTGCTGATATGGACTGCGGAGATGTCGTTGCAAATCAGTCCGTCGTACCTGTAGTGCTTACTGTCGGTATCCCTGCATGCTTGATCGCTTATACTGGCGCAAATACATATACCGTTTTGGTTTCAGGTGGTTATCCGGGGCGGAAGGTAGACGGCCGAAACATGTCCGGCCTTTCGCCCTCCAAGCCAGCCACGTTCTTCTGTATGATATGCAACAGAGAGTTTACGAACGTTTATTACAAGCGGCACATGATAGTGCATACGAACGCTCGGCCTTACGTGTGCAGTTTCTGCGGCAAGCGCTTTAACGAGCGTTCGAATATGCTGAAGCACAAACAGCGATTACATGGCAATAAATATGAGCTAAACGTTTCCAGTGCACACAGCGTTTAGCTGCCCGTCGATTGGTGGACCAACAGCTTCACACCGCTGCCATCGGCTTGAATGTTTTTTCGCTTTGGTGCTACTGTCCAGTGTTTACCTTACAAGGCGAATGAGTTTAATCGATTAACAGCCAGTGTTTCCTGTGGCCGGCGTACTTTTCATTCCTTCTTTCTCTCCCTTAGCAGAAGTCGATACCGTTGTTTCTTTTGTTTAATTCGACTTCGGTCTCCTGCTATAGCGGATGTCTACTTTCTGGCGGTAATAGATTACCTTCAGCACCTTGCTCAATTGGATCATCGCCGTCGTCTTTCTGAAGGTTAGCATAAATTCTACTGTAAAGTCTAAAGTTGATTTAGCTGTGTGTCCACCTTTAATTTTCATTTTCCCAGATTGTATGATATGTAAGATTCCTGTAATGAAGCGTGTTGATCTGTGCTCATATGTTTTTTTTTCGTTGGTCGCCGCCACCTCAAGAATGAAATTAAACGGCTGTTTTATGATGAATCTCGACACATCACTTTAGTACCGAATTTCGAAAAACTGCATTTTATAATTTTGTCTTTGTGAAAGTCCGCTTTCCTCTTATAATTTTTTATCCTACTGTTTAATATGACCAAAATTTATTACAAACTGGCAGAGCCAAATTGCAGCTTTCGTATTCGTTAAGTCTTTGATAGATCTTGCACAGTTATCAAGAATGTTAATACTGAACATACATTTTGCACCTTAAATGGGTAGTAACTATTATCGTGAATACAGAATTGTAAATTTCCTTAATTTTTTTGTTTAATAGCGAAATCTATCTGTAAAGCACATGTCTTTGTTAATCTGGTCATTTTGGTCGCACATCAGATGCGTAACATCACCTCATGTTGTTCATACTCTTCGTGTATCAGCGACTTGCACTGAAGGGAAGTTGGATGAGTATCATGTTCAGAATAGTTAACATTTAGTAACTGTAAAGTGGAAACCAACATTGCGTACCAATGTCTACGTTGCTTAGCATATAAGTACGTTGTCATATTTGCTTTTGAATAGGAAGCAATTGAAAATGACAAATTTCGATATTAAATTTTTGATGCGTATCAATTGCATCATATATTTTTCTGAGCTTCGTGATGTCTTTCAAGAATGCAAATACATTGTAATGTGGCCAGTGCTATATCTTCAGCTGAAGCTAAGGCCTGAATATTAACGGCAATGATTCCGAAGCTGGAACTTGTCTTAAAAGCCATTTAGATCAGGTTCACTTGCTAATGAGACTTGATGAACGCTATATGCAAAATTTTGATATCTGAAAGCTGCGGCATTAATAAAATCGCTAAATGATAAAGAACAAATCAGCGATTCACTGGTGAATAGTTATTGATGCTAACAGCTGTTAGGCGCCAAATGGTTTCGATATTTCCGTACAAAGACTCACAGGCCGTTACGTAAGGAATCGTTCATGGAAAAAGCCGATAGTACGTCCCTAGAAGTGTTGGCTTAACAATTTAACATCTTTCATGAAAAACATTAGGGCAGAAGACCTTTAAAAATAGAGGATGTTGATTAATCCACTATTAGCCGTGATTACGCGATCCGGACTTCTTAATAAATCTGGAATTGCAGCAGGTTTTGGAAGAAAGCGCGTTTAAGTTCAAAATCTTTCAAATTCAGTCAGTGCAATGAATCTGACATGAACGTGGTATTGCCATTCAACATATGCAAGTAATTTAGTATTGTACTCATACAAAACACCTCGATGTCGTTTGTCAAGCGCAATTCTGCCTCCTTGCTTCAAACCGATTGAGAGTTTATTCGAAAGTTTGTTGGTTAAACCGACAACTTTAATTAGAACAAGTCAGCTGGTCAATTGGCTTATTTACAGAAGAGTGGTTGTATGACATCCTACCTTTTATCATAACGAATAACAGAAAGGTTGCGTTCCGAACTTGTCCAACCACCTTGACATCAATGAAAGGTCAGGAGTTAGACAGAAATAGATAACAAATTTTAAATTAACGATTCACGCTGATTACCAACAAGGAGAGCAGTGCCTTTTTGAATCAAGCCATTGGCTTAT